CTGGGCATACATCTGGTGAATATTTTTTTTAAAAAGTGTAGATCTCTTTACTGCCTCAAAAGATGCCGGCAATATGCTGCTTCTCGAGGTCCCCTTCAGCTCTGTGGAAGTATCGCCTGCATGATTAGGAGGGCTGGGGCCTGGGAAGTTGTTCTGCTTCTGAACCACATGTCCTCCTGTGAATCAAGTCTGTACATTGAGAAGCACTTCATAGAGTCCCTGACTTTATTTATTCTGGGCAGGTATGGGCCAGTCTCAGAAAGGGGTTTCCTTAACTTAAAATCTGGCTACCTGCCATTCTCTGGAAGGCCTGAGAGTTGCTTCCTGTATCTATCCAAATATGCCTGGAAGAAGTCTCTGTCCTGGCAAAGAAGCTGTTTGCAATTTGGAGCAGAGAAGGGACTCAAAGCACAGGGGAGGCCAGCACCACACACATGCTGTTTTTGTCCAAGCCTGTCTCTGGGAAACATGGACCAAAGCAGTAAGCTCTCTTGGAGAAAGACCTTTTGAGCTTCCAATGAGTGTGAGGGTTGTATACATCCATGGTATACAGTGGAACTTTTGTCTTAGTGTCAGAATAAACACATCCTCACAGGAAGCCAAATCATTGACGGCTGTATTGTTAAGCAGTAAACAGCAATATTTGACCATTATGTGAATCTCAGAAGTTTCTAGGCTCCTCCACCCAGGGAGATATATCTACACAGTTTACCAATTACCTTAGGAACCTCACAGCTTACATCTCATCCTACATGATGAAGAAACAGCAGTCTGTGTGATGGCCATGGAGAAAATAGCCTGGTTTGTTCAAGCACATATTGTAGATCCTACCCTTTGCATGGAACAGAAGACAAACTCTCCTGTGATCTTGCCTATGACAGAGACTCAGGGGAGTTCATGCTCAGCAAATTCTCCAAAGATGTACTTTAGTTCAGGGACTCTATGAAGTGCTTCTCAATGTACAGCAACTCCAGGACACTCTACTTAACCATTTCCCTTTTCATTACCCTGATGCTGTTTTCTTGTAAGAAATAAAACACTCAAGGTAACACAAACCCATATACGGAAGAAGATAGAGCCCAGCGTTGCTCAGGAGACAGTGTATAGTAGCACATTATAAAGCCTGCTCAGAAACTAGAAGCACTTTTATTTGGTTCATTCCTCACTTGACAGGCAAACCTTTTCAGTTTTGGAAAATGTTGTATGAATAAGGCTTTGCCAGTTTACTTTGAAGTGTAACTGAAAATACATTTTGGCTGTGTAGATGAAGCACCATGGGACTCAAACATTCTTTGTTTTGGATTTTGCTAATAGTCCAATGTGAAAATTTTTGAGGGGCTACCATGTCAGTGGCAGTATGACTGTGAGCCTCAGTTTCCCCAGTTGCACAATGGCAATGACTCTGTCTCTGCAGTGCTGTTTTAGAGCATGGGGAATCCAAAAAGCAAGCCTTACACTTAGATTTGTTTGTGTGTCAGGGGAGAGGGATATGTTCACGTGTACAGGTATGCTTGTGCTTATGAAGGTCAGAAGTCAAGGTTACTTTCTATCTTATTTACTTATAATAGTGTCATTTATTGCACCTGACATCACTGATTGGGTAGGATGACTGACCAGTTAGCTCCAAGGATCCCCGTGTCTCCACTTATCCGTACTGAAATTATAGACACACACTGCTCTTCCTGGCTCTTTATGGATGCTGGAGATTACACTCATCAAGCACTTCACTGACCAAGTCATCTCACCATATCCATTCAGTAGTTTGAACCCTTTGGAGAACCCTTTGGGAGATCTGAATTCCATCCTCCTCTGCCTTCACAATCATTTACACCCTTTTTTAATTCCAGGAGCAATGAACAAAACTAGGGATTTGGGACAAATGTCTCTACAGACACAAAACATTTATGTTTTTTTTTCAAGTTCTCGATTTTTCTGGATCCAAATCTTTACGGTAAGTGCTTATGTTTGTAGTTTTATCCACTACCCGACTGTCTATCCCTGCAAACCAGTACACTGTGTGCTACAGGCACACGTAATACTATCCTTTTCTGTCTGTGTGTCCAGATGTGTGTGGGGTGTGTGCATGGATGCTCATTCCTGTGTGTGCATGAAGAAGCTAGAGGAGGAAATTAGGTGTCCTGCTCTTATCACTCTTCACTTCATTCCTTGTTCAGTGAGAGATCAGGAGCCAGACGGACAAGCCCCATCAATCCTCCTGTCTCCCCTTACACAGCACTGGGGTTATAGGCATGCATGGTTATACCCGGTACATCTGTGTTGTACCTGTCTTTTTATATGGACCTGAACCTAGACCCTCATGTTTGTGCAGAAAGTGCTCTTATCCATTGAGCCATCTGCCCAGACCTGTTTTCTTCAATTCCCTCCATAGGAGGGATTGCTTTTTTGTTTAGCTCTTGTTTCTTTTCTTCATTTAATTCATCTGCTCATATGCCACTTACTCAGAGATGTGTGTACAGACTGTCACATTGATACAGCTATCCCCTTCCTACCAAGTTATTGCCTTATTGCTTCACCTTTATGGCATTTATAACTGTCTCAAATTATGCACCCCCTTTGTGTTGCCTTTTCACTCTAAAATGCAGTTTTCGTGAGAAGAAAAGGCATTGGTGGGAAGTCAATGATAACAATGTATGAGCTGCAGTGGGTGTAAATAATGTCATGTTGAATGAATGAATGAGCTTTGGTTTCAAAGGAAAGTTACTTTAGGAAAACCAGGGATTTTGATCTGTAATATGCTTACAAGAATTAGTCAAAACCCAGGTATATAACTAAATAATTCAAGCATTGTATGTGCTTTAGCCAATTTTAGTTCTGTAGCTCTACAAGGCAACATTACTACTCCCATTTCACAGGCACAAAAACTGCGCTATAGAGAGGTTAATTAGCTTGAACCAAGCATTGCCGGAGTTGGGTCTAAAAACAGGTATTTCAGCCAATGATCTTTACCACCCAATGAAAGCATTAAATGAACATAGCTTCAACTGTGGCTCGATGCTCAGCTTCAGCCTTATAGGCAGGAGGTCATGGAAGCCTTACTTTAAAACTGCTATTGTTATGATTGTTTTACAGAGAGGGAAGCTGGAATTGGGAAGCTTCAGCAACTTATCTAAGGTCCCATAGCAGCTTAGTGATGAAGGGGATCAGAGTGTAGACAATGTGAATCCAAAATCCATGTTCTTAGGAGTCTTGCCCATATTATACAAACAATGTGGTTTGCTGTTAGAGCACTGTCATTCTGAGGTTTGGGGGCAGTGAGAACTCATCTCCCCCTTATAAAGAGTCTCTCTTGGGATATTGGGTTCTATCCTTTGGCTACAGATTGGTTGTAACTTTGGGTTGGACCAATTTAGATGTGTGAATAGGAAAAGCAGCATTGTTTTTTCATATAACCACTTGACTTGATAATGTCTGCGTCTTCAGATAGACCATAGGAATGAAATGTAGAAGCATAAGTACTAAAATTTCAATCTTGGTTACTAAAATGAACTAGAAAAATAGATTTAATATTTCTGGGTCTATGTGGTGATGTAAATAAAACAAAATCTATAAAGTTTAACCCCATTGTATTCTTAGAAATTCCACACCAGTGTGCTTTCTTTCACTGACTACACCCTCAGTGACTTGGTCTTGCCTTCACAAAGGTCCTCTGTAGGAAGGGAAGACTTTATATGATAGTCAGTTCAGTACCCATGCTTATGTGTTACTTGTGTGCAAAAATCACAAGAGAAGAAGAAAAATCATGGAATCCACACACTATTGCCATGGCTTCAAAAGCAGCTAATGTAAAGAACCATGTGTGTATATGCAGATATGAAAGCACTTTTCTATGAAAATTTCCCTAAGCCACAGAGACCGGTTGATTCAGCAAGAAGAAAATGAGTCTGGCCTATTCTATTGAACTCCAGCATTTCCACAGAACTCTTATTATGTGTATTTTATTCGAAGCTATGTGATCCTATCTGAACCTGTATTTGATGCTCACAATTATCCAAATGTGTGGGTAGTGTGGGTATTATTAAGCCATTTTACAGATGGGGAAATTGAGGTTAATAGAGTTTAAAGAGCTCACCCAACATCAAGAAGCTAATAAACAGCAGAGCCAGCACCTGAACCTTTGGACCCAAGTTGCATGTTTTCTTCTGCAGCCACCACTCATCTTTCCCTGGCCAGACAACCCATCAGTGATGAGACTGCACATTTAATTACTCACACAGGCTGGCTTCCCAGGGTAGAACCTGTGGGTTCTATGGGGGCCCAAAATGCCATGTCCTTTACTCAGTATTGTGTGCTTATCTGTAATTCCACCGAGTTGCAGTCCCATCTGCTCAAAGTTAGGAACATAGTCAATAATGTTTGTGGACAGGGGACATTATTGATTGTTTCCTCTGGAGCATCCTGGTGGTTTGTCCTTGCACCAAGTGTGATAGGTACCAGTGGAGCTGGCATCTCATGTGATGCTTCCTTCTCTTCTCTGCCCCTGTGAGCTCTGTGATCAGCACAGATTTGAGTCCAGACTTATTGAGCATTACTCAGTATTTGCTTTACTTTTATGGCTCCTCCCAGGATTTGACGGAGTTGCAAAATGGATCAAGTGCCTCTGTTTACTCAGGGAAAGGATTTCAGAAATAAGTGGTTTAGTGACTCCAGGTAAGTAAACCAAGAACCAGGCTTGATTGAAAAAAAAAATTGCATGATTCAGCACAGCATCAGCTAGCTAGCCCCAGACACAGAAGGAACCTGTTGAAGCCAGGCTAGTCCCAGATGTTTGTATTCCTGGACAGGGAGGTTCACTGGGTGTCCTGCTGAAATCCATCAGGCCAGTAGAAGGCAGTGATTATTTAATTTTCATCCAAATAGTACTTGTGGTACTGACCCTTTTCTGCAGGCTGAACAGCTGAGCTTTCTAAGCAGAAGCAGAATACAACTCCCACTGATGTATAAGAAATAAGTGACCCAGTCTGTGTTTTCATGACAAACATACGAGTTGGACTTGCCCAATCCGGGAGATCAGAATGCTGCTCCTCTGCCACATTCTAGCTGTCACCATCCTTCAGATCTTGATCTTCTCAGAAAACTGGGCGTTTGCCAAGAACATTAACTTCTACAATGTGAGGCCCCCCCTTGACCGTAAGTAGGGGCTGTGGTTCTCATTCTGTGTCCACTTAACTTTCCACTTCCGTCTACCATACCTTTCCTGAATGGTTGGGTTTACCTAGACAGGTCTAGCCACTGCCAGGATGAGGGTGTTGTCATGGAAGGCTTCTCTTTTCTTTACAATGGGTTGGCTTCCTGCTACAGTCTTACAAGGCTTCTATTTTAAGAACACAAGAGCCAAACAAGGCTCTTGTGAGCACTGTCCCTAATCATGGCTTAGCAGAGGTTCAATGATCTTTGTTGATTTCTTCATCAGAGAAGATTACCAGCTATGGAAAGTTTCTGCATAAACAATATACCCATTCATTCAAATGACCATTAACACTATTTGGAAATTCATCAGAAAGTTTGAAATTGGGAAGAGAGTGGGACCTGGGTCCTCATTACTGTTATGCATAATTAATGGTGCATAAAATGTTTTGCCACTAAAAGTAGTGAAATGGTAATTCAAATGGTGGGGTATGGGATATGTTTTTCTTTTCCTTTCTCCTCTTCTCTTTTAAGATGCCTTCCAGGTGCTGATGATACACAGCCAGGGTGAGGGCTATCTTCATCCTAGCCCTACACAAGATGTATGTCATTCTTGTTCTTCACTTTGCATTTCTACATTATTCAGGATGTTCCATCTAATTTGTCTCTGTCTATCTCATTCAGATATGTGTATGCATAAGTAGATGTAGATGTATATAATCTGTAATACTGCTATCATCCTTGCATTCCTTCTTATTTCAGAAGATAAATTGGAATAGAACCATACCATGGATCTTTCAAAGTAGCTTGTGGAGTCATTTTCATTTCTCTATAATGGAAGATTATAGTACTTACTAGAAGGGAATAAATGAAATGAGCACAAGCCAGTGGGTAGATCATGCTTTTGGAACACAGGCATTCCCAAGAGGATGTCTTGTATGTATTGTTTCATCTAATAAAGTGGCTAATTTTGTGCTATTTTTGAAGTTTGAAAATTCCATCTTTTTGTGACCTTATTTCCTTTTTCTTTATAGCCACACCATTTCCAAACAGCTTCAAGTGTTTTACTTGTGAAAATGCAGGGGATAATTATAATTGCAATCGATGGGCAGAAGACAAGTGGTGTCCACAGGGTGAGTATGTGAGCTTGGGAAACTCTTCTGGATTCTTTTGTGCCCTTACTTTATTCAGGTCCTTCCCTTAGCTGGAAGAGATGGCTTACATAATAGATTAATGTGCCAGCAGCCCAGTGGCATTCTGTAGGAGTCCTGGATTTCTTGTGAAAAACTATCCAGACAACAGAATATCCTGAGAGGACCTGGAAGTGACTGACACAGCCTCAACATGCAGTTGTATGCATCATGAGGAAAGATTTCTTAAAATGTATTTATTAAGAAGACAGAATCCACAGTGTTGACTAAAGCATTCAAACAATTCCAGAAATGCTTGATGCTTGATGATACTTTAGAAAAGTCATACTCATTGGCTTAAAGCAAAGAAAGGTTTCTGTACTCTAATCTCAAGATTCATTGATGCTCGGGAAGCTCATTCACTCCCTTAACAAACATCTGATTATCCTTGCTAGGTTACTGAAACATCTCCAATGCCCATTCTGGTGCCTGGCTCCTAATATTCACTCAGTAAATACTTGCTGACAGATGAATGGATGCCTTTGACTAAGTAGCCATGGGAAATCTCTAAACAAAGACTTGAATGGCCAAGACAAGGAAACTTGGTGGAGATCTGTAGGAATAGTGTTCCTGGAAGGAAAAAATCTCAATTGTAAAGACTTCCAGAGTCAACAGTTGGTGTGGCCTCTTCAGTAACAGATTGGCCACTGTGGCACAGTGGGAGATGGAGAAACAATCTGAGAGAGACCCACATTCAAAGACCTGCAGATGTTTCTTTCTCTGATAGAGTGTAGAAGTGAGGACAAATGATACTGATTGTTATGTACAACCTTGTGGTGGATGCTATATGGAGAATGCATAGCTAGAGACAAAAGTCAAGGAATACACCAAGTGTGGGAACTCATCACTTTTGCTTGCAAGGTGGGGACTGGAGCTCTTAGAGGTAGAAATAGAGTCATGAGGAAACTGAATGTTTTCATACAAGGGTGGGAAGTAAAGCAGACAGAATATGCTCATAGGAGTTCTGAATTGAGAGAGCTATAATGAGACTGGGATGTTCTGATGTTAGATTTTCAGATGCAATGGTTCAAGAAAGATAGATAGCAGAACAGATTTCCAGAATTAGAAATTGCTGGTTTGGGTCTATTACCATGAATCTTTCTATGCTACATCATTTATAATAGTAGAATGACCTGATTTTATCCAGACACAAGAAACCTGTGGAACTCCCCCTCTAAAAAAAGCAAAAAACAAAACCAAAAAACTCCTACTTGCTAGATTACCAAGAATCACTGCTAAGTTATGTGTGCATGCCTGTGACTTCTTTCTGAGTCAGGGTTTCATTTCTATTGTGAAGAGACACCATGACCATGGCAACTCTTACAAAGTAAAACATTTAATTGTAGCATAATTTCCTTATGCTCCACATTTGAGTGTAGCTTGAGCAAAGGAAATCTCAAAGCTCACCCACACAGTGACACACTTCCTCCAACAAGGCCACACCTCCTAATAGTGTCACTCCCTTTGAGGGCTATTCTCTTTCAAACCACCACATTCAACTCCCCGTCTCTCAAAAGCTTGAAGCCACATTATAATGCAAAAAATGCATTCAATCCAACTTCAGAAGTCCCCGTAGTCTATAACAGTCTCACAGTTATTTAAGTCTAAAGTTCAAAGTCTCTTCTGAGATCCACGTAGCCTCTTAACTGTAATCCCCTGTAAAGTCAAAATCAAACAGCAGATCACATACTTCCAAGATATAATGGCACAGGATATACATCACCATTCCAATACACAGGGAAGGGAGCATAGTGCTAGACCAAAGCAAGTCTGAAAACCAGCTGGGCAAACTCCAAACTCTGCATCTCCACGTCTGATGTCAAATGCTCTTCAGACCTTCAACTCCTTTCAGTTTTGTTGACTGTAACACACTTCTTTCTCTTGGTCTGTTTCTACTCCCTGTTATCAACTTTTCCTTGGCAGGTATCACATGACTCTGGCATTTCCAACATCTTGGGGTCCCCAAGGCAACCCAGGCTTCCACCTTAACAGCTTCATGTAATGGCCTCTCTAAGTCTCCATTGTAGCGATACACCTGGCACATGCCTGGCCTCAGAGTCTTCATTAGTCACGGAGGAATGTTCCATAACTCCTTTCTTCTGTCCTTGGCTCTAAAGCCAGAACCATGTGGCCAAAGCTGCCAAATTCTGCTGCTTGCTGGGCCTGGAACATGGCCCCCTTGTTCAGTTACATCTTCGCCAGCTTTCTGTTTTCAATGGTTTTCTTCATTGCCTAAGCTTGGCTATTCTGAAACTGAATCTGTATACTAGTCTGGCCTTAAACTCAGAGATCTGCCTGCCTCTGCCTCTGCCTCTCTGCCTCTCTGCCTCTCTCTCTGCCTCTGGAGTCTTTTTTCTTGAGGTTCTTTTATATTTATTTTATATTTATATTTATTTAGAGCACTGCTCTTAAATTATTATATGCTTGTATGTGATTGTGTGTATTTTTTCAGTAGAGTGACTGCTCTTAAATTATTATATGCTTGTATGTGATTGTGTGTATTTTTTCATGTTTCCACAAAAACTTTTCTTAGTTGTTTTAAATGATTTTTTTTCTATGTAGATTTTTTCTGACATGGGGTTTCTTTGTGTAACAGCCCTAGCTGTCCTGGAACTCGCTCTGTAGACCAGGCTGGCCTTGAATTTACAGAGCTCCACCTGCCTCTGCCTCCCAAGTGCTGGGAGTAAAGGCAGGCAGTGGTGACTGCCTGGCATATTTAGAATTTTGCACATGCATACAATTCATTTTAATCAGTGCACTCACTTTTTACTCCCCTCCAGTTTCTCCCTTATCTCCTTCCCCTACAAATTCAACACTATTCTTTCCCAATTTTGTGGGCTCTTTTTTAAACCCAATGAGTTCACATAGTGGGGATGGGTAATAGATGATTATGAGTATCCTCTCAGGGGCCGCATCCTAAAGAAAACTGACTTGACCTACCGAGCAGCCATGAATTGCCAATAGCTTCTCATCTAGGAATAGGATTGCATTAACCCCATTCCCTGCCTGTGCTGAGATCCTGTTTGGCTTGATTGTGTGCAGGTCTTCTGTATGCAGTCACAGCCTCTGTGAGTTCATGTGTGCAATGGTCCTGTCATGTCTGGTAAATATTGTTTCACTGCAGACACCCATTCATCCTAGCTCTTAAAATCTTTGTTACCTTACTTTCCTTGATGATTCCTGAGCCTTGAGAGTAGGGACTATGAAACAGCTGTCCCATATAGCACTGAGCATTCTACATTCTTATCCTATGCACACTGATCTGTTGTGGGTCTCTGTATTAATTACTCTGTCCTGTAGGGGAAAAAAGATTCTTTGATGAGGGCTGAGAGAAGCATTAATCTATGGTATAAAGGTATAAAGGTAAAAACTTAAGAGGGTGATTTATTACTTGTCCACTTAGCAGAACAATAGCAGAAGGTTCTCTCTTAGGACTTAGGACTTAGCTAGCCATGGGGTTTAGGCCCAGTTAACATTACTGAGCACAAAGTTCCATCTTATGGAGTGGACTTCAAATCCACTTTGGAGAAGATAGATTGGAGCAATTATTTTAGTTTAAGGTTGGTTGATAACTATCTCTCCTAATTTATTTCAGATGGTCAATATCATTCTTTAACAATTGCTTTAAATTTTCCCTGAACACCAAATAGAAGAGTTAGAATAGTTTTAAAGTATGCCAGTTTGTAGGCCTTCCAGTTATGGAGCATGCTATTCTTTGAATTGACACTCAAAGTCTGTGCTCACTATGTCATGCACAATGCTTCAATTCTTTGTTTATCAGCCAAAACCTTTTATCTGCTTTGGGTTTTAGAATATCATCTCTTTTGTTCATTTAAATATCTTTTAAGGATTGGTTTACTTTATATGTATGAGGATTTTGCTTGTATATCTGTCTGGTGTCCAAGGAGAACAGAAGAAGGCATGGGAGCCCCTGCAGCTGGAGTTATAGATGCTTGTTAGTTTACATATGGCTACTAGAAACTGAACCCAGCTCCCTGTGAAGAGCAAGAAGGGCTGAGCCATCTTTCCAACCCTAATAACATCTCTTTTTAAGCACAGATAAACAAAACAGGAAACCTTAGCTTCCCATCCCTTATCAGTGCTTGCAATAGCAATGGCAGCCTGGTTGGCTCTGCCAAGCCCACCTGACAAGCCAACTCTCACCATCGTGGAATGACCTCATATTCAAGCACAGCATGAGAACTCATTTTTGACCATCTGCTATTCAAGTCTCAAAGACATTAGCCATCTGGAATTATAACTGAGGTGTCATTTCTTACTTTTCCCTTTGCTGTTGTTTAGGGAAGTGATAGTCAACCATTCATCCAGGAAAGGCAGGCCTGGAACTATTGTTCTTTGTCATCTCAGATTTCCTTTATCTCCATAAAGCTCCACTTGTGGCCCCTCAGTGCTGTTAAAGGAGGGTCTCTCTATAGCAGAACATGACAACATGGTATTTTGTGTTGAGTGATTAGAGGATATTTTCCTGTGTGTGATGTATACAATGCTTGGATAAACATAAGCAACCACTGGCTTCCAATCTTTCTGAGTTTGCAATATATACTTAAATGCCTTTTCCAAAACATTTAATGGCTCCCTCTCCTTCAGATTCCAAAAGCCAGCTACTTTTGTTGAGTTTAATGTTGAGTATCCTGGGTGGCAGCCAAATGTACTGATTAAGATCCCAAACCCTTGAAGCCTGCCTTGCTTAATCCTACCTTACACCTCTGTAACCTTCCTATCAGGGTGGTAGTAGATAAGGTAGAGGTGCATGCCTTTAGCACTCCACTCCGGATACCAAGGCAGGAGGATCTCTGTGTGAGTTCTAGGTTAGCCTGGTCTACACTGGGAGGTCCAGACTAGCCAGGACTACATAATGAGATATTGTCTAAAACAAAAACAAAAAAGGGTGTTAAAATGGTCTGTGGCCTTCTAAAGCTCATGGTAAGGATTAAATGAATGAACACAGTTAGAATGTAACTGACTACCGATCTACAATATGAATATATTTGCCATTGTAAATATTATTAAAGTTATCAAAATGCCACTGTATGTGTTAGCATTTTATTTAAAAAAGTACAATGATCTCAAAAGATCTAACAGGTCTTATTTGTGACAGTCCTAAGAACTCTGTATTCTCACTCTTGGTCCATTTTCCCCTAGTCAGTTTTTATTGGGATCCATGGTGAATAAATTAAGAAGCATTTCCATGGTCTTTGGTAGCAACAGAGGAAACACAAAACCAAAACAGAATATCCCATGATAACACATTAACCACTTTCTTGGAAGAATGCTGTCATAAAATGGGTGTTTAAAGCAATGAGGAATGAGCTAACTATACAGAGCAGGCATGAGTGGGAAGCAAGAAGTGAAGGGGAGAGGGAAAGTAGAGTGTACTGATGACAAAGCGTTTTAGAATACAAATAAGCAGGATGAGGGAGGAGGTGACTTGACATGTAGCTAGAGACCCATTAGCCACTTAGCCTGTAAGGAACAAATATTAAGTGAGGCTCTACATTTTCAGACACATTGTTTTTGTGCTCACAGTTTTTGCCTTAATTTAGAGTTCTAGAACATGAGCCTCAGAGGAAGAAAGGGCAGACTAGGGACATAAAAACTTGCATATTTGGTGAGCAAGCACAAGGACTGATGAAAACTCTGCACATTTTTCTCAGTTTCAGCTAATGCCAAAGGAGCTGGATACCTATTTATATTCATTTTCAAAAACACATGTGTACTTAGGAACTGATGTCTTTGCAGAAATACCACCTACAAACTCTAGCATTCATTGCTATTAAATTTATCCCCTAGAATCCTAAAGATTTTCCTAAATTTTAGTCATTTTTGGCATGATGGTCTAGGGGTCTCCTTTGCAGTAGGGAAAATAAAATTACTTTTTTGTTGTTGTTAAATTTTCGTAGACACACAGTATTGTTTGACAGTTCATCACTTCACCAGCCATGGAAGAAGTACATCCATCACTAAAAAATGTGCCTCTAAAAATGAATGCCATTTTGTTGGCTGCCGTCACAGCCGAGACTCGGAACACACGGTAAAGATGTGTGTGTGTGTGTGTGTGTGTGTGTGTGTGTGTGTGTGTGCTTTCCCATGTTTCATGGTGGTGGTGGTGGTAAATTATGCATCATGGGAGGACCAAGAAGGATTTGTTTGTGCTCTGACAAAAAGATGCTATTACAGTGCCAACAAGGAGAGCAGACATTTGAAGATATTCTGTCTTCAAAATGAAATGTTACTAAGAATGAATGATAATTTCCAGGATCTAGAGCCAGACTCTAGGCTTCAGAACTTGCATGAAGAATCTGAAATCTGCTCTAGAAGGTCAAGAACAACTCATCTTTGAAAGAATAAGGTGCACTGGAGTCTTGATCTTTTCCTGGCTAAACTTCACCAGCACCCCCTTCCCAGGGTAACTAGATGGTAGAAAGGAGAAAACAGGGATGACTTTTGCCATTGAAACTTTGTCTCACCCTCCATCTCTGCTCAGAGGAGAAAAAGCCTAAGAGAATAAGATGAATTCTAAACACATATTGCATCAATTGATCCTTTAATGTCCTCATTCTACCATTTCAAACAAGAATGTGCTCTTACATGCAGAGTTCCTAAAATTTTGGAGGAAAAAAATGACTTGAAAATACACATTCCATGAGATTTGACAATGTGGTGTAGTATGTTAAGTCAGTGACCCCAACATCAGTGGCTGTTGACTCTGATCACACAAGGGCCATATGCTCAGTAAGGACAAGGTATGCTGGTGAGCCTGGAAGGGAGCATCTTAGCCTGATTGGTATGGAACTTCACATAGAGGTCTAGGGCATTAAGAAAGTACTCCAGGTTGGGCACCTTGGCTCACACCTGTAATCACAGTATTCTGGAGGCCGAGGCAGAAGGCTTGTGAGTGTGAAGGCAGCCTGGGCTACACAGCCAGATTAAAAAAGGAAAATCAAAACTTGCCCCTGGGAGGATCTGATGGGCAGCTGGCTGTACAGCCAATGATGGCTGTGCTGGGAGTTGATGCTTTTCTGCTGCCTGTTTGGCCTGGAAGTCTGTATGAGTGGCTCATTCGTGAGGTCATGGCTTGGGACCCAGCATTGCCCTTTCGATCAGAACCTGAAATTTGTTTTCAAACTGTCACTGCAATAATAATGGAACTTAGGTGAAGTCACAAACAAGAGAGAGCCACTATTATTAGCTAACAAGTAATACTAAGAAAGAAAACCAATGACAAATCCAGAAGGTTCCCAACTTTTACTTTGGTTTCACAGTTTTCTGATAAACCTGTCAAGATTTGGCAACTTGTGCAGGCTAATTCAGCATCCCTTCTTCACCTCACTTATGCTTGGGTTTGACACAGAAACTTCAAGAGTTAGGGTGAAGTCTCTCAGGATGGTCTTTGCTCAAGCCCATTGCAGGGGAAGATACCCACAGGCCCAACCAATGCACAGGCTGGACTGTCAGCTCCGACATCTGTCTTTCTTTTTTGTTGTTCCTTTCTCCTTCCTGCTCTTCACTCTTATCCCTTTCCTTCCTTGTACAGGAGTGCAGGTCTTGCTGTGAAGGAATGATCTGCAATGTAGAGTTGCCTACCAACCACACAAACGCAGTCTTCGCTGTAATGCACGCACAGAGGACATCTGGCAGTAGTGTCCCCACGCTCTATCTCCCAGTGCTGGCTTGGCTCTTCGTGCTTCTCTTGCTATGATGTTACTCTTTCTAAGAGGGACAGAGACAAGCACTGTAAAGCAAAAGGCACAAACAGTGGACCGGTGAATTATAAAGAGGATACACTGGACCCCAAAGTAGAAGGCAGAGGTTTGCTTTGCTGAAATGCTCCTGTATTAGGTCACAGCACTGAGCATGAGGACTTGGTAGGAACCAAGAGGACTACCTGACTGCCAGTGTCCTGGTCCAGGGGCACTGCATTCTGTCACTTCTGTAAGAAGATCTCCAGTATTGTTGATGGTTACAGTAGCTTGGTAAATCCCAGCCTGACCAGGCCTTTATATGGAAGTACTTTTTGACCTCATGGACTCCCCCAGAGGCTGCTGGATCAGACTCTCTGGCTTCTGTGATTAGCTCAGAGCATCTCTGTGAAATTTAATCATTTCTATCCATGAGAAAGCAGTTTCTCCACTGTGCTAACTTCCCATTATTGTAACAAGTACCTGAGATGATCCATTTATAAAGATAAATGGTTTGGGCTCGCAATTTTGGAGGCTGCAGTACATACTAGTTTGGGGCTTGTGTTAGACAATGAATATCCACTCACTTATAACATAGACTTAGAAGGTGAGAGTAAGGGCTGGAGAGATGGCTTAGAAGTGAAGGACAATAACTGGTCTCCTTAGAGGACCCAGACTTGATTCCCAGCACTCTCATGGCAGCTTGTAACTAATAACTCCAGTTCCAGGGGATCCAATGCCCTCTTCTGGCCTCTGTGAGTACTGCATACATGTGGTACATAGAAATATATGTAGGTAAAACACTCATATGCATAAAAATAAATAAAATTTTCTTCCTAGAAAGGGGAAGGAAGGAAGGAAAGAGAGAGAGAGAAACGTGGGCAGGAGAGAAAGTGAGCATGCATGTAGGTTTCTACAGTACCCTTCAAAGTCATGTTCCCAATGTTCTAAATCTTCCCACTAGTACCCCTTCCTAAAGGCTCAACCACCTCCTTAATGGCACTAACTTAATGTTTCTGAGGACCAGAACTTTAACCTTGTAACGGTCAAGATCCAAACAATAGTACCTACTAACCACCTAGTCAATGAAAAAGGCAGCTGGAGTAGGGAAATTTCCAGTTAAAATTCTATGAACCTGTTTGCCAATTATGAGGTGGTTGGGGATGGGGTATAAAACTTTGAGTTAGATAGGGTCATGCATGCTGTGTGTCTCTTGACAACCTGGAAGCCTCTGATGAAGCACATTTGCCAATGTCACTAAAGTTGTGCTTCCAGGTACCATGGGTGATATATGCTATCTGAAAGAATAAAGTTTTATGGAAAAGTGACTTAGTTTTTGCTTGTTTGTTTTTCCTTGTTGGGGGGGGCGGTGAGGGGGGGAACTCCTTGGGGAGGCTATATACAAAGAGTACATTGAGAAGGTCGGGACCTTCCCTGACCAAGGAGGATAGATGTCACTGTATCGTGTCCATCTTCAGCGGCAACCACCAAGACTCACAGGAAATCTCAAGCTTTCTTTTCCCCAGCCAAGTCACCCACTCTTCTCTGAATGTCAAGTCCAGCGGAACAACTCCAGTATGGAATGAAATGTTTGGTCTCATTTTCCCCTTTATCACTTTTATAGCACAGTTTCAGAATGTTAAGTGAACATCACTTTGATGTTTCCAAGATCCCGATTTCTTTCCCTCCCGCTTCTGCTCTTACATGTGTTAAAAAGAAACTTTCCCCCTCTAACTCAGCATGGGCCACTAGAATGAGATACTTTGCTAGAACTTAGTAGTGACACTGTCCTTGATTGGGCTCATATGTGACATAGGTTGTTTGTTAACTGTGGCTTATAGGTACAATCCATTCCAGCACCTAGTTTTTGTTAATAAAATTTTATTTGAACACAGTTACCCCCATTTGTTTCTGCATGCCAGTATCTGCTTTCAGTACCAGGCAGCTTGGTGCAGAAGAGAGAGTTCGATCTCTGGCAAGGCTCCTACAAAAGAGAAGCTTTCTGACCACTAACCTATAGGAAGCTAAGACCAATTCAAGACAAAGCTGTTTCTGCAGGGTTCATGGTGTGAATGCTGAACTCAGCCTGGGAAGTGATCTGGTGGCTATGTCTTTGACTTCTGTGTCACTGACTTTGTCTTCTCTGTTTTGATTTGTTGTTCCATTGAGTCCAATCTGATGCTGGCTAAGGGCTCCTGTCAGACACGGGTTGTGCTTGTCTCTTCACCTTGACACTTTGGGAGTATCTTATCTTAAGTGAGACTTTTCAGTTCTCCATAAAATCAAGGAGTGGACAGGTACCTCATCTCCCAAGCTGTCCCAACCTCAGACCTGGGAAGCTTCAGTTTTGAAGTCTAATATGGATTCACCCTTTTTTCACTCAGTTCCTTGAACTTTTTGTGCCTTCATAGCTTCTGCTTGTTTGGTGTTAATTATATATGGCTTCCTTTGGGACATTTAAACAGCATCTTTAGTATCTTTTTGTTTCCCATAGTTTCTCCCTCTGCCCCAGAATTTCTTTTGACTATACAATTGATGTATTGTCTAGTAAAATTGTAATCACTAGTATACTGTAATTTTTTCTGATTTTGTTTCTGGTGCCTAGATAATGAAAATCTTGTGTGTGTGTGTGTGTGTGTGTGTGTGTGTGTGTGTGTGTGTGTATGCGCACGTGTGCACGCGCGCACATTTGACAGCACATATGTGGAGGTCGGAGGGCAGTTTTCAGGACTTGGTTCTTTCCTTCCACCTTTGTTCCAGAGATGGAACTTACTTCATCAAGTGTAGCCAATGAGCTGCCCCACCAACCCAGCCTTCTATGTCTGTGAAGCTGATGCTGTGGTCTATTCCAATGAGCATTGGAAACTAAAATTCAAAAAGTAAATCCAGTCATTTGTATCTATCAGATGGATTTTTTCCCCATTTCATAAAGATATGGGATGGCTAGGTATCCAAGACTTCTGATTAATTTGTCTTTAGTGAGTAAGGAAATTAGGTAATATTTTGGTTTCAAAGTGTTCAGTGACAATTGGAGTAATGAGCCAGGAAGAAAGGGGAATGTGTAGATTTGCTGTTACAAAGGAGTCATGGGGTGAACTATAAATATGAGGGAGTGTTTAGAGGAAGAAGCTGTCAAATTCCATGTTAAATAGCTCTGCATTCTAGAATAAACTAGAAATTCCAACCCATCAGTAAGTTTTCCTTTGTAAAGAAAAAGAAGGGGGAGGTGTGTTTGACAATCACCCTCCCCTCCCACCATGGTCTAAACTCTTTAAATTCAACTCTGAGTGAGATTAGCAATCAGAAATTCCAGGCACTATGTTCCATGAAGTCTGCATTCCATCATTCAGTCCCTGGGTAAAACAGTTCATAAGAAAGGGGAGGGTGGGGTTACCTACAGCACAGAGCATAAACTGAGCACCGTTGATTAACATAGCCTTGGGAGGTAAGTGGTGTCATGGAACTGGAAAGAGGTATTTCACATGTATGAAATGAGTTCATGCTTAAGCCACATTTCTGTTACTTGTGGATTATAAGCAAACAGAAATATATTATTGCCTTTGAATTATGGACATTTTCTGCCTTATTCTTTGTTACTGCCTGTCTGGCTATTGGGGTGCAAATCAGGTCAGAAGAGGAGGAACCATAGCTGTGTGGGCGTGGTTAAGGAAGCTAGAAAACAAATGGTTACTTTGATTTGAGTATGTCTTGGTTCAATCCTGTGACAGTCCATCTGAAACAGTTCAGCATCTTTACCACACTTTCCATTCACTCTGCATCTTTATAATTCTCCTTCTCTGCCCTCTTCTTCATTGTCTGGCTTGTGTTCCAGGAGATGCTAAAACTGGAAGCCAAGCTGACTCCAGGAGGACACAAAGTGTGAGATAAGCATGGTTTGAGCAAAGAGACCTCTGCATAGGCTGTGGAGTTCCGGAACAAAAAACATCACAGACTACTTAAACCTCCACAAAGGACCTTTGAAAATCAGTTCCAACTAAGAGGCTTAGAAGATTCTGGCAGACACTGGCAAGGCAGGGATGCCATGTTGAGGATGGTCCAGGGAGGAGAGATAACACTAAAGAGGCAGTGTGGAACCCCTTCAAGCAAGTAGATGATGATAACTCTAGCCATCAATGGTGGGCTCTGGTAGTCATGGAAGCAGTATGAAGCAAATGGGAAGGCAAACTTGTGTGCTGAGGCTAAACATAGATTTAAAGTCAGATCCAGTGCAAATGCTTTTCAAGGAAGCCGGGCAAAGTGTGTGGCAAGGAATTCCTGGAGAAAGATTCCAATAAGATTTCAGAGGGTTTCCAGACATGGGTGAGTCCTTGTATTTAAGTGGCTGTATCCATTGGATGACTTCGGTGACAAGTAAAAGAACCTCAATCAAATTGGTACAAATCAATTTCTTGCTTCAGATATCAGAGGGTCCAGAAGAAGCCTAAGTTTTAGAATGGGCTTGATCCAGTGGACCCAACTCCTTTTTCCTTTCATGTCCCTCATGTTTTTTGGTTAGTAGATGCCACAGATATGACGTACTGTCCACTCAGTGTCCTGAAACCTGATGCAAGCACTTCAAGAAGAGGAGACATCTACACTCTGGTCCCAGTCAAAGGCAGGACATGGTCACCACTAGGTTATTGCAGGCAAGGGGCTGTCAGTGACTCCTCAGGAGTACGTGGTACATGGTGGAGGGAAGACACTTGAACCAATTAGGAAACCAGGAAGGAACCAAGAAGAAATAGATCTGGGTGGGCGACTGGAAACATCTGCTGCTGGTCCCCACAGTGTGTGGAAAGGCAGCTGTCAAGATGGCTGAGGCAATGCTATGAAGCTAGAGATGGAGAGGGGAGGAGCCAATGGAAGTCATACAGATTTGCCTAAGCACACAACTGGAAGGAGGGCAGACAGAGGCACTCACTGCAGAGTGCAATTCCCTCAGAGCATGGGAACATGACTTGATCAATGTGCATTGTAAATCTACAAGTGGGTGGAGAGTATAAAGAGCACTTCCCAAATT